TTTATCAATGCCAAGGGAGTTTCAGGCCTCACTTGTACTCCCAACGCTTGGCAGTGTAGCAACAACAGCATGATCAATAAATGTTCCTCAGGGAGGTTCTGTGGCAGCTTCCCAAACCCACAAGAAACTACCTGGCAAAAGTACTGCTTTTCCTTCCCTCCCTTCCCACCACATAAAGGCTTTGGCCAGCACAGTTCTGTCAGCTAAGGGTGGGAGATTATTTTCTTGCTCCTAATTGACACATTTGTGCCAGCAAAGCTTCCCCAGTGATCAGGCTCTGGAGGGGCTTCTCCTCTGGGGTTTAGTTGGAGTTCTCTTACAGCCAAACTCACTATGGTGGATGGAGAATCTGTCTTTGCTTCTTCAGGCCAAGATATTGAGCCAGACTTGCCTTTCTGAGGAAAAGCAGCCCCTGCTCCTTCTAGGAAAGTCATTTCTAGGTAAACAATTTGGTTTATAGCAGTTACATCTGAGGTGGAAAGTCATAGGGATAAATGGTGGGATTTTGGTTTAGTTTGGTTTGGCTTTTAGGTGGCAACTCAGCAACAGTCTGAGGATAACAACCTCTTCAGAGTGCCTGGTGGCAATGCTGCCTGGTTGTCTGAACTTACTGGTGTGACATTTGTCCACCTGAGCACCTCACAGGGAGACACGAGCTGTGAGCAGCTCAGGTGTGTCCCATCCCTGGGACCATAAAGGGAGGATGATCTTAGAGCTCTCCTCCATCCTTGACGATTCTAAAGGGATGATTATTTTATCCACATCTGCTTAGTTTGTAGATTGGTTTCTGGTCTAACCCCTGTGCCTTGATGTCCTCATCTCCTTGCAGTCAGCAGTTCAGCTGTGCTGGAGCAGGAGAGCTCTGCTGGCTAGTGCTGTCACTGGCACCTGTGGGGCAGCAAAGGTGTGGGATCAGTGGTTTGGAGCAGAAGACATGTATTCTGCAGGAATCCTGGCAGCTCTTGGCATTGGGCTGATCCAGAAACCAGGAGGGCTGCTATGGCTAGCTGCATCTGAACCCAAATGCACCAGGAATTAAACCTCTCTGGGGATGCATTGATGGTTTGAGGGTCAGTGATGCCAGAGCAGGATGGGATGGAGAGGATGTCACGTTTTTAAGTGCAGAAACCTGCTGGGCTCCAAGCTCTCACAGCTCCTGAGGAGAGCTGAGCCTTACCAGACACCTACCTGCTTTTTGTTCTTTTGAATAGCCTGTCAGCACAGAGTTGACTGCTTGGATTTTCTTGCTGTTCTCTTGTTCTTCCCCACCCAGGAGAAGCCTAACTGCTATCAGTGAATCATTCTTGCGTGGGTCTAATGCTCTGAGGTTGGCTGAGGCAGAGAAAATCTCCTCCAGAGCAGGCAGTGATTTGGGGGACGAGCAGTGTGACCAAGGAGCCATGCAAACCTTGCAACAGGGAATTTCTGGTGGCTGAACCTGCTGAGGCATTGCCCTGACAGAGTCTTGGGCTGCTGCAGTGGTTCACTGTGGGAGTGAGTTTGTAGGACTCTGCTTAATGGTGCAGAAAACAAGACAATTATTTTAACCTGCACTGAGTGGCTTGAAGGCAGAGCAGATTTATTCTGCTTTAAAAGCTCAGGTCACTGTTCTGGTCAGTGATGTCAAGCATCAGTACCAAGCCAAGTACATCTTTGGATCGTGGAAATGCATCCATTGCACCTTTTTGTGGTTTTAGTGGCTGAGGTGACAGCCAAAAGTCACTCACTGACCTGGGCACCAGCGTTAGGAGTAGAATTTCTGCAGGACTGGAATCAGTTGCATTTTTCTCCATTTAAAATCCGTTCTCTGATGGACTCATTTTTCATGAAGTCAAGCAAGATGCTCCATGAAGAACTGCACAGGGTGTGTGAAATGATTCAGGTGACTACACACCCCTTAATAATTGCCTTACTTGTGTTAGTAAGTGCTTTATTTGTCTGTTTGCCTGTTGTAAAAACATCTGTCTCAGGTCTCTCACCTCCAGTGGTGTTATCACAGCAGCCTGAGGGACCTAACCCCTTGAAATTCCACACAAGTCAGGAGGAGATTGTCTCCATTTCTCCTTGAGCAGAGCTGATAGGAGATGATAAATGAGCCCTCACTTTGCAGTGATGATGGATACAACCAAAACCCACCCTAACTTTGTTTGGCATGTCAGCACAATCTGTTCCTTTATTGTGTGTAATTAAAAAACCCTGTCAAACTGCAAACACTCCTTTAATTAAAGCCCCCACAGCCACAGTTTGTCATGCTCAGTGCTTCTGCCTTTCGTTCAGCAGTTTGGGTTTGACTGCTGAGGATGCAGCCGTGGGTTTGGGGCTGCTCACTTCAAGGAGGACATTGAGGACCTGGAGTGTGTCCAGAGAAGGGAACAGAGCTGGGGAAGGGGCTGGAGCACAGGTCTGATGAGGAGAGGCTGAGGGAACTGGAGGTGTTTAGCCTGGAGTAGGCTCAGGGGTGACCTTAGCACTCTCCACAAGTCCCTGCCAGGAGGTTGTAGCCAGGTGGGATCAGTCTCTTCTCCCAGGCAGCTGGTGACAGGACAAGAGGATATGTCCTGTGCCTCAAGGGAAGTTTAGGCTGGACATCAGGAAGAATTTCTTCACAGCAAGTGTGATCAGACACTGGAAAGTGCTGCCCAGGGAGGTGGTGGAGTCACCATCCCTGGAGGTGTTTAAGGACAGACTGGATGTGGCACTTTGTGCCATGGTCTAGTTGCCATGGTGGTGTCAGTTCATAGGTTGGACTCAATGATCAGAAGTCTTTTCCAACCTGATTGACTCTGTGACTGTGTGAGGTTCCAGGTATTCAGATGGTGCTGCAGGTCAGTGTGGTCTCACACTGCTAGAAGGGACTGTGCAGGAGTTGTTTGCTCTATTCACATAGGGACAGACAAATACGTTAAGATCAGTGCAGTGAACTTTATTACAAATGGAGGGACTCGATACCTGGTAAAATAGAAGGAAATATACTCAGCTGTGGATTAAAGCATCATGAAGTTTGGTCTAACCATGGCCTTGGGACAAGGTTTTCCATGTTTCCTGGCTGAAGAACATGCTGTGTGCCTGTATGGAGCACACATCTCTACTTGAGTCGTAGTCCCAGAGGTGCTCACTGGATGTCACGTTGTGTGCATTAGTGAGCAGTGGTGAGGCTGGAGGGATGGACCTTTGTCCCCAGGGGCCTTCTCTGCTTTGAAACAGCATCACTCTGCTGACATTTGATTGCAGTACTTGTGGGGTTTAGAGGAAATACATGGTTGGTTGTCCTTCCTTCCAGGAATGTGAGAGAGGAGCAGGGCAGAGCAGTTGCTGGTGCAGCAGGAGCCTTTACAACTTCCTGAGCTGTAAATGCGTCTTCACAAAGCACAGCCCTTTATACCCAGCGATTTGTTCTCTTCAATAGAGCTCTTCTGTTGAAGTTAAACTGCTTTTAACTCATGCACACAATGGCACTTTTGTTGGGGAGGCTGCAGCCCTCTGGGAGCCCTCTCGCTTTCAGCATGGGCCTCAGGAAGAACAGTTGACATTCTCTGGGCATTGTTCTGGTGCCATTCAGACCTGGGCCCAGCCTCTCCTCCCCACAGGTTGTTTGTGTCACCCACTTCTGCCCTGTGTGACTCTCCTTTTCCATCCACTGGGGATTAAGCTCCTCAGCACGGATGGATGGTTTTAGCAGAGGGTTTGGTTTGCCCAGCATCATGTGGAGGGATGGAGCAGGAGGTTCCTGAGCCAAGTCCTCCTCCCTTAGTAGGCTTCTTGTATTCCTTCTGGAAGGGATAACCTGCATCTCTTCCATCAGCTGCCTTAGTTATCTATTGAATAGAACAAAGGCTGTAATGGGCTGCCTAGGGACGTGGTGGAGTCACCATCCCTGGAGGTGTTCAGGAAACAACTGGACTTAGTGCTATGGTCACAGGTTGGACTCAATGATCTTTGGAGGTCTTTTCCAATCTTAGTGTTTCTATGTTTTTATTTTGTGGTGGCTTGGGAAGGTTGAGGGAGTTAATAACACCCTGGGATGGTTGGTAGCTGTGCAGCTGTAGGTTCAGCGAGGCCACAGGTGTGTAGAAAGGGCAGGTACAGCCCTGAGAGAGCTACACGTCCTCTGACTTGAGAGGTGATTAGTCATTCCTTTGTTCTGGAGGTGCCTCAGACTACTAGAAGGAGAGCCAGTTACAAAGTGTTTCTTTCTGTGTGTAGATTACAGACTCTGTGTGCACAGGAGATTACCAGAGTTGTTGGTTTAGGCTCCTTCCTGTTCCAGAGATGAGAATTGCAGTGCCCAGGTGCTGCCCAGCATCTGAAATGCCATGAGAGCCCTTTGGTGAGCTCCCACCTGGAGCTGCTGTGCAGCTCATAGAATGTTAAACGGTTGGAATGGAGCATAGAGATCATCCAGCCCCAACCCCCTGCCCTGGGCAGGGACACCTCCCACCAGAGCAGGTTGCTCAAGGCTTTAGCCAACCTGGCTGTGAACACTGCCAGGGTTGGGGCAGCCACAGCCTCCCTGGGCAACCTGGGACAGTGTCTCAACACCCTCACAGGGAAAACTTCTGCCTACGATCTCATCTAAATTTCCCTCTTTTAATTTCTCCCCATTCCTCCTTGTCCTGTCCCTGCAGTTCCTACCCAAGAGTCCCTCTGCAGCTTCCCTGGAGCCCCTTCAGCTCCTGGCAGGTTGCTCTGAGGTCTCCACACAACCTTCTCTTCTCCAAACTCAACAGCCCCAACTCTCTCAGCCTGTCACAGATAAACATGTCTTTGTGTTAAATCCTTCCATTACAGCTGGCTCCTCTTAGTTCTGCACTGGCCAAGGCTCAGAACAAAAGCCAAGTCTCTGCTCAGTGTTGAACCTTGGAAAATCTGCTCCTGTAAATAATTGATCTGAACGTTACTACAGTTCTTAGGTGCTGCGTAGGACGAGTTCTGCTTGGCTGTACCTAACCAAGCCAAATCTGAACTGAAGTGGTTGTTTGTTTTGTTGTGCAGTGTCCAAGAAGCACGGGAAACTCATCACCTTCCTTCGGACATTCATGAAGTCGCGGCCAACAAAGCAGAAGCTGAAGCAGAGGGGGATCCTGAAGGAAAGGGTGTTCGGCTGTGACCTGGGAGAGCATCTGCTCAACTCTGGCCATGACGGTAAGGGACAGTCTGCTCTTCCTCGGGGGGATCTCCTGGCAGGGTGAGGGGAGCTGTAAAGGGATCGTGGGTGCTGGGGGAGAGGTGAGTGACAAAAATCAGCAGCTGGAAGGTAAATTTGAGGCTGATGCTGATGAGAAGTTCGTGGTTCGACGTGGGAGGTATCATGGTTAGATGTGGGAGGACCATGGTTCACTGTGGGAGGACCATGGTTCAGTGTGGGAGCACTGAAGCTGGAACTGCTGAAGATGAGTTCTAAACCTCTTGAATCATAGAATCATCACAGAACCATAGAATTTTAGGGGTTGGAATGGAGCTTAGAGATCATCCAGCCCCAACCCCCTGCCCTGAGCAGGGACACCTCCCACCAGAGCAGGTTGCTCAAGGCTTTAGCCAACCTGGCTGTGAACACTGCCAGGGTTGGAGCATCTACTACCTCCTTGAGCAAGTCCTCAAATAAATATTAAGTATTTTTTCAGGGAAATAAACTCAATTTCTCAGTGATTAATTAACAGGTAGATTAAATCCCTACATTTCTCTAACTCTGTACCTTTTTATGATTCTAGCACAGCTTGCAGTGTGAATCCTTCCTCTGCCTTCTCCTTTGGTTTCACAGAATCTGCAGGAATTAACTGGATATTATTTTTGTCACAGGTCACTTTTCTCTCTGTTTGTTGTGGTGAGATTTCTATATCCCTTCTTGGTCCTTTTCAGCAGTTTAGACAGAGCTCTCCATCCCAAGGGAAAATTGCACAATTATTCCCACTGCTCCTCGGATGAACTTTGATTTCACATGCTCTTTCCTCCCCTTTCCCTGTGACATCTCCAGGCCAGGCTGTGGTGGGAGGTGCCTGCAGTGCTGAGGAGCCCACAGGGCACTCAGATGCTGTCACAGGTCACTAGCCAAGGTTGTTCCCATCACTAGCCCACGCTGAGGGGTGTTTAGCAAAGCAGCACCATGGGCTGAGTGGTTTGCCCAGGAGTTAAAGCCATCAGGAAATCAGTGATGGGTGATGACTGGCTGTGTCAGCTTGGTGGTTCTGCTCCTTGCCCCATGCAGTGAGTCTGTAGCTCATCTCTTGTGCCAGAGTTGGTCATCTGATGTCTCCCAGCTCGGTGTGCAGGCTGAGGGAGCAGGGATGGATGTATGGGGTAGGAAAGGAGCTTCTCTGTTAAATTTGCCTTCAGTGGTACTTCAGACTCCTCATTCATCCCAGTGCCTTCTGGGGCTGGCAGAGGGCAGGGAGCCATTTCATGCACTTCTCCAGCTGATTCAGATGGTAACAGCTCTGTGCACTCCCTCGCCTGACATGAAGTGTTTTACTAGCAGTTGGTGAATAGTATAAGCTTGTTCTTATGGAATCAGGACTGTGGCAAGGCTCATTGCCTTGTTAATTGGAACCAGTAAAGATCTTTGTTGCTGGGGCTTGAAAAGCATCAGAGAGCCAGAAACTGGATGGTTTGGAGACAGAAAAGAGACATGTAGAACTGCATCAGGAGGAGGTAATTTACACCACTGGGTAGCCATGGAGCTGGTTTTATGTTCATGCAGTGGGAGCAGTGTTGGAGGGCAGGAGCCATGCCAGCAGAGTGAGCTCATTAATGGAAAGAGAGAATTCTCTTTCATCCCCAGCCCTCCTCCTGTCTGTTTTCGTTAGGCACAAGTCAGCAGCAGCTCAAGCTTTTCCCTGCTCTCTGCGTTGACTCCTTCCCCTGGCTTTAAGGGGTATGAGTTTTATTTAGCATTAAAAGACAGCCTGAGCTGAACTGAAGTGTTCTGACTGCACTGGAAGTTGCTGTTCCACAGTCTCCAGGAGCTCTCCTTGTCCTGGTCACACCAGCACAACATCAACCGGGTGGCACTGCCTGAGCTGTGCTAATGAGGTCCCTTCAGCTCAGAAGGCACCAGTTGCTTTCACCCCTGCTGTAATAGCTCTTTCCTAACTCCCTGGAGTGAAGCAGCTCCAATTTGAGTGTTGCTAACAGGGGCATGGCTCCATTTCCCACAGCAGGATTGTTGGTTCTGTGTGATTCAGCTCTGACCTGTATTCCAAGTGACGTAATCCCGGGATGGGTTTTGTGGAGACGTTTCTGGGTTCCTGGGAATCCAGCTCTCTGCATGCACAGCATTTGAAGATTCCCTCATTCTGTAGCATTCATGTGGCTCAGTCTTGGAGCCAGCTGCAGTTCTGACCTGCTGAGAGGGGACTGAGGTGTCCCAGGAGACCCTGAGGTGATTTAGGGCAAAGATGCTTCTTCACCTCATAACCAGAAAAAGCATTTATCTAGGAGAACACAGCACTCTGTGGCTGAAGTCTGTGTGTGGTACCTGCTGGTAATGCTTTGGGATCACAGCCTAAGACATCTGAGTGCAGAAGAACAAAGAACCCAATGCATTCATTGATTTGGTTAGGTTCATGCTGCTTTTGATGGGTTGATGTCCAACACCCAAAAATACCTACCAGGACTGAAGGAGCAAATGACACTGCCCCAGTGATTGGAGTGAGTGACATGTGCTCCTCAGAAATGCAATACTGAACCCAACTGGAAACCCAGAAGTTCTTACCTGGACTGAAGGAGCTAATGACATGGCCACAGTGATTGGAATGAGTGACATGTGCTCCTCAGAAATGCAATATTGAACCAAACTGGAGTTATTGCTAAGATTGGTATTAATTACCAGCTTTAGGAAGCTAAGAAAGCCCTAAATTCTCAAAAATTTACTGTGAAACATGAGCAGTCCCAATTTGGCAGTCATGAGTATCAGAAACTTTGACTTTTAGATAGGAAATGGTGAGTGAAGAGAGGACTAGGAGGATAAAAGGGATGAGGACAAAGACTGCCATAGGTGTAACATTATTTCACTAAAGCCTGTGCTGAGGCAGCTGGCCCAGATTGCTTAGCCAGGAGAAAAGTGTTTGCTCTGTACCCAGAGGGGGATTTACAAACACAGAGGAGATGTTTTACCTGCTGCAGTTCCTTGTCTTTCTGTGGGCTCAGCTCGTTCTGCATCCGTGGAGCCTCTTCCAGGAGGAGGATAAATTGGCATGAGATGTACAGGAGGAAAGGGATGCAGAAATGTGACCTGGTTTACTGTTACAGAGCAGGAGCCCTGAGAGAGCATCCTGCAAAAAGCTCCTCCACATTCAGCACACACTGAGTTGTGACCCAGCAAAGCAGTTCTCATGGTTTACCTGAGTTTTTGGCTGAGGTCTGTGCCTAGGCAGTGCTCTCCCAGCCAGAGGTGCCTCTCAGTGTGGCATGACACAACCTGCAGATGCTAAATGTTGGGCTATGATACATCTGTGCACAGTTTCTCCTTAGGGGAGGGTGTCTGGGTAAAAGGCAGGATGAGTGGAGCAACGGGCTGGAGTTGCTGTTCCCTTCTCGTGGTGGGGAGGATGTGGTTTGTCATGTTCCTAATTGTTCTGTGTGGAGCTGAGCAGGTACAGGGAGGGAGGTGAGGATTTTAACAAGTGATAACAATAACAATGTGAGGGGTGAGTACTGCACCTTAAAATCCTCCTGTGTGCCTGGTTATTCATGTTGGGGATTGTGGTGATCACTGGGCAGTATCCTGGGGTTTGGGTTTGGTTGTGTTTGTTGTTGAATTCCACTTTGTGTTGTACTGACACTCTGAGCTCTCCAGACAGTGGTGGAGCCTTCTGGGGTGGGAGTTACACCTCCATGTGCTGCCAAACAATCCCTTGTGGAGCAGGTAGCAGTGAGGGAAGGAAGCATTGCTGTCTCTTAGGTGAGGTTCTGAGTCATGGGCTGATCACAGGATTATTTGTCAAAATCATCTGTATTCCAAGCTGCTCTGGAAAGTGGGAATTAGGAGCCACGGTGCTCCTGGGCACTGGGCTGGGTGTGTTGCCTGCAGTGAAAGTGTCAGCACTCTGTCCTGGTGGTTCCTCTGACACATGCCAGCACAGAGTGATGGGCTGGGACCTGCAGGAGCAAAACCAGTTTTGATAGGAAGGAGTTTAAACTTCTCTGCTGGGTCTAAATCTGGCAAAGCCTGTGGTGATGCTTCCTTCAAGTATGCTGGTTTGCACAATATTGGTCCAGTCAGCTCCAGTCACCCCGTGGAGCCTGCCTGAAGAGTCCTGTCTGCATCCCATCCTTGTGCCTTACTCATCTCTTGGCTCCTCTTGGGGTTTGGATGCTTCCCCTGCCAGGGAAGTGTCATTTGGAAGCAGACCAAGCTCGGCAGGGAGTAGCTGTTTCTTCATCACCCCAAGAGATGCTTCCAGTTGGTTTGGAGCTGTTGACACCTGCCATGCTGGTGTGGTTTATGGAGCTGTGAGATGCAGCAAATCCAACCTAATCCTTGACTCCTGGGGAGACCTTGTTCTTGTTCTTTTTGTAGGTAGAGATTGTTTTTCTCCCCCTTTTCTCCCAAAAGAAACTAACTAGAACTTAAATTTAGCTCTACCCTGATTAGGATTGTGCTTGGAGAGGATGTTTGTGGAGTGTGGGAGCTGCTGGAGTGCTGCATTGCAGCATCTGCACCATGTCCTCGTTTGTGCCTCGGAATATTTCGACACAGAGCTCCCCACAGCTCCTGAGTGTGTGACAAGTGTGGGAGTGTGCAGTGATGTGCTGAGGAGGTTTGTGCTGGGCTGCAGGGAGAGGCAGGGATGGGAGAGCTGGGCAGGGTCCTGCTTGTCACCAGTAGAGTGTGAGGCCAAGGTCATGGTGTTGTGGAGGGACTGGGGGGCTGGATGGAGCCACAATGTGCATGGGGAGGCCAGGCCAGTGCTGCTGTGGCAGTGGGACCATTCCCCTCTGGCTTTGGGAGCTCACTGGGCCATTGGGATGGGTCAGCACACACCAGAGAAAGCCACATTGTCCTGGCAATGCCAGAGGTGTGAGCTGCAGCACGTGAGGGTTACTTTACAACACACCTTTTATTCAAATGCTGCTTGGAATAATGTGCTGGGATTGTTGAACTGCAGAGGATTGGGGATAAGACTGGTGGTTCTTCCATGCCTAAA